GGGGGGGGGGGGGGGGGGGGGGGGGGGGGGCGGAAGGACTCCGCACTCCGCATGTGAAAGGGGTGGGGATGCTCGTCGTCTCGCTTAGGGGTGTAGATTTTGGTCTCTCTCAAATATGATTTGTGTAAATTGAAATTGACTTGCCGGCAAGGAACGGAGAACTGGGTTCTAGTGTAGCGCGCGATGGATCGCGGTTACGGGGTTTGATATAGTGACCGTTTCATTCTACGGGTCGGCCTCGCCGCGTCAACTTGCTTTGTTTAGTTTAGCATGGGCCTGGCTGACCGACGCGCCCATTAGTTTTCCAAGTGTTTTCTTGTGTGTTCGGTTGCGTAGTGGAGGCAAAATACCAGAGTCTTCAATAAGATCAAAGATTGCAAGTTACCAGTCAAAGGTGGCACAATTAACAGCTTTGGCTCTGGCCGCTATTATTATTTTTAAGTATCGTGTCAGTTCTTTGTGGCTATTGTTATTTTTCGTCATTGTTTTTCGTGTGTTTTTCGTATTGTTAATTTTTTTTGGGCCGACTCTTTATGAGTAAAGAAATGTGCTGGGTACATGTATAACTTTGTCTTCTACCGCCTTTCCATTGTTTTCTACAGAAATTAAAATATATGACAATGAAACTTAATTTATATTGTAAACTATTATCTTTGTATCTTCGAGGCTGATTCGATCCATTGAGAAAGAAAAGCCATTTTCAATTGGTCAGTTAAAAGTAATATCTTCAGGAAACACATTAAGTTGAATTAGGATAGAAATCACAATGGAGAGGAGACGTTTTTCTAAGTCACGGATCTGAGCATAGCAAAGGCGTCATGATACTTGTAAAAGAGAATTTTAAACGTGAACTGAAGGTGTGTCATGTATATGGCGGTAAGAGATTTATCATTTTAAGAGGTCAGATGCAAGACCATTCATTTGTCTTTATATTTATCGCTGTAAATTAAATGGTGTTAAACCAGTAATGCGGGGCTTTATTTTTTTAAAAAAGAAATAATCGGAGCAATACACAATATAGAAGGTAGAATAGCATTTATGTGGAATAAGGTAGAATACCGTAAAAAAAAAAAAATGGGAAAAATCAAATACCATTTAACTTAATTTAAATGTTCTCTAAATTGAGTCAATTCCCGGCCTCTTCTCTCTGTTTTTTATTGTTATTTATATTTATCTATTTATTTATTTATTTCTGATGTCTTGTATAAAATATTGATTAATTTTCTAGGATAAAGTGTAGTGTAGATCTTATTTTTGTATGTAAAGTTGTAAAAAAAAGAAAAACACTTGAATCTGACGTTTGCCGTTAGCGGTATACTGACGTGAAACTTAAACTCTCTATTTTTTTCATAGTTTCGTAAAAAGGCTTTACATTTCCACATGCATTCTGCTGATTCTGTTAGGAAAAAAAATGTTTAAGAATGCCATTTACGCCACGCTCAGTGCTCCCTCCAGAACCACCCTGAGGTTCGTAGGTCACACGAGAATATGAGCCGCGAATTGTGGAGAGCTTGTTCGCAAGATACCCCGGAGTCGACCGGAGGGACATACAAAGGGACACTCCCTTATTTGGCCGAAACGGGTATGTGCCTCTGAACTTCAGGATCGAATCATAGTCTCTTGAATGAAAATAGGATATACTAAAGAAGCAAGGCTGATTTTACAGTCGGAAATATACATTTTTTGTTATACAACAAAATTAGAAAGTAAAAAACAAACAGTCAGACAGACAACCAAAAAAATAAACGGAAAATTATGAAATCACTGCTGGAATCGCCACAAATATTGCAAAGTACAGTATTACGATACGATATTTAGCTTCACCCCTTCCCCTCACCTCGGCATGTGTTATTGAAAATTCAATCGGATCGTGATGAATCGACAAATCCAAGGCGACATTTTGACACGAAACCAGCTGTTGGATAATGGCTTTTTTAAATAGCTAGTTTTATCAGCTGTGATGACTTGTTTTTTGACCACCGAGACAAAATTGATTCATAGGCTGATATTTAGAGCAGTTCTCTAAAACTAAGCTCTTTATCCAAGGTCCCTGAGTTATCAAGAATATAGAAAAGTCACCACCCGATATTGAATTGTGATGCACATAATTCATGACATCAAAATTCAGGCTTTTGCCAGGGAAGCAAGTGTTATTTGTATGGGTTATCATAGCTATAAAGTATGATATTAGAGATGACACCAAAGAATATCAATAAATGCATTATCAAGAAGCCACCCAATGTTTCAGCATTTTCAATATATAATGCCGGGGGTGCGTTTAATGTGATTCTGGTCTGCTATCGTTGTTTTGGGGAGATGTACTATTTGTTTTGAACTTTTACAATTATATAT